GCTGAGGCACGAGAATCGCTTGAACCCGGGAGGCAGAGGTTACAGTGAGCTGAGATCACACCACTGCACTCCAGCCTGGGTGACAGGGTGAGACCCTGTCTCAAAAAAAAAAAAAAAAAAAAAAAAAAAAAGTTTATGCTACTATGTAATGAGTATTTTATTGATTTTTAAATTAATGAATAAGTATTTTTAAAATTTATCAGCTTAGGCCAGGCATGGTGGCTCATGCCTGTAGTCCCAACATTTTGGGAGGCCAAGGTGGGTGGATCACCTGAGGTCAGGGGTTCAAGACCAGCCTGGCCAACATGGTGAAACCCCATCTCTACTAAAAATTACAAAAATTAGCTGGATGTGGTGGTGCATGCCTGTAATCCCAGCTACTAGGGAGGCTGAGGCAGGACAATTGCTTGAACCTGGGGAGACGGAGATTGCAGTGAGCCAAGATCGCACCACTGTACTCCAGCCTGGGTGACAGAGTGAGATTCTGTCTCAAAAATAAAACAAAATAATAAAATAAATTAAAATTTATCAGCTTAAATTTCTTATATGGTACACATTGTTAGATGTATGCCACATATACAAAAGTTAATTCGTTTCACAGTAATTTTTAAGTTGTAAAGGGACCCACCCTGAGCTTAAACTTTTAGAACTGCTGCTCTACAGTAACCATTTAAAAGATCAAATAGGCCGGGCACGGTGGCTCATGCCTATAATCCCAGCACTTTGGGAGGCCAAGGCAGAAGGATCACTTCAGCCATGGAATTCGAGACCAGCCTGAGCAACATAGTAAGACCTCATCTCCACAAATAATATGAAAAAAAAAGATAAAATTAGGAGGTTTAGCTAAAAGTCAATACAGGAGACAACATGGACTACTAAAAATATATGCAATAGACCCAAAACAACAAAGAGATACAATTTCAAAATCCATCAGGTTGCAGAAAATATTAAAAATCAGACAAATATCAAATGTTTGCAAGAATGTGGAGAAATGACAGTTATTTTACAATGCTGATGGGGTGCACATTGGACACACCTTTGGAGAGCAATCTGGCATATTACAACAATCAAGGACTATGTCACACACATCAGACTGGCAAAAATCTAAAGGTCCAAGTTTTGGCAACGATGGGATAAAATGGAAACTCCTCCTCTGCTGGTAGAACGCACTTTGGAGGGCCACTGGGCAGTTGTTAGTAAAATCAAATATGCATGTGCCCTAAACTCAGCAACCTATCCTAGCTCTATACCCTGGGTTTGTACTCTGCATTTCTACCAGGAAACACATGTGCAAAGATACTTATCTGTAATTGTTAATATTGTTACAGAAATAACCTGTGGCACACACTTTTGGTGGTCTACCCATATCCCTTTGGCATTCACCACTCCTGTGGGTGCAAATCAAAGAGCTTCTCACTGCCAGCACCTTCGATGCTACCTGAGGGTTTTCCCTGGCCCCCGGAGTCTGCTCAGCCAGCATGTGGAGCAGATTGGAAGCACCAGAGTGAACTGCCCCTCTGCCAGCAGCATACAACCAGTGACGACTGGAGTTGGTGGATAAATCCGCTAAGTCTCTCATGTCTCACTTAGGATGAGTCTGCAGTGCATTCTACGTTCTCCCAGGAATTCCCCGGGGGGATTGAGCCCACTTGCTCACAGCAATTACCTGTCGCTGATGCACCTTTTACTGGTTTCCCTCCTCAGCTGTCTTACTTCCCCACTTCCCTGTCAGTGCTCACTGGAATTACCTTCCAAATAAACCATTTGCTCTCACATCCTTCCCCCAGGGTCAGTTTCTGCTGAAACCAGTACTTCATAAGTGCTTTTCGACAGGAAGATAGGTAAATAACGTGTGATACACAATGAAACAGAGGTAGCAGTTACAATGCATTCAGAGCTACATGTGCCAATGTGGATAAACATGAAACATATTTTGTGTGACAAAAGCAGGGTGCAGAATAGTAATAACAGTACAATGACACTTACATAACTTGTATTCCTAGCTACCCATGCAATCGGGGTGGCCACATTACACAATTCTAGTCAATAAGATAGAAACATAAGACTGCTAGAAAGGGTAAGTTCCTGGGACAGTTTTGGTCTTTTGAGGAAGAAAGGAGGGAAGGAAGGAAGGAAGGAAGGAAGGAAGGAAGGAAGGAAGGAAGGAAGGGAGGAAGGGAGGAAGGGAGGAAGGAAGGAAGGGAGGAAGGGAGGAAGGGAGGAAGGGAGGGAGGGAGGGAGGGAAGGAAGGGATGTGGCTTGAGTTTTCCCTCCCCTCTTCTTCCTGTCTTGATCATGACATGAAGGCTGGAGCTATAGCGGCCATTTGGTCTCCATGAGGAAGAGGTCAAGACAATCATGAAGGCTCATGCCTGTAATCCCAACACTTTGGGAGGCCAAAGTGGGAGGATCACTTGAGGCCTGGTGTTGGAGACCAGCCTGGGCAACATAGTGAGACCTCATAACTACAAAAAAAATAAATAAATAAATAAATAAATTAGTGAGGCCAGGCGCTGTGGCTCACGGCTGTAATCCCAGCATTTTGGGAGGCCGAGGCGGGTGGATCACAAGGTCAGGAGTTCGAGACCAGCCTGGTCAATATGGTGAAACTCCGTCTCTACTAAAAATACAAAAATTAGCCAGGTGTGCTGGTGGGTGCCTGTAGTTCCAGCTACTAGGGAGGCTGAGGCAGGAGAATTGCTTGAACCTCTGGGGTGGAGGCTGTAGTGAGCTGAGATCACGCCACTGCACTCCAGCCTGGGCAACAGAGCAAGAGTTTGAAAAAAAAAAAAATAGCCAAGTGCACTGGCATGAGCCTGTAGTTCCAGCTACTCAGAAGGCTGAGATGGGAGGATTGCATGAGCCTGGGAGATGAAGGCTGCAGTGAGCCATGATCGCACCACTGCACTCCAGCCTGGGCAACAGAGTGAGACTCCATCTCAAAAAAAGGAAAAAAAAAAAGGCAATCATGAAGACACTGACTCTGACATTATTGAACCACTGTACCAGCACTCTAGGCTCTTTGTAATGTGAAGAAAATAAATACAATTTGTTTAAGCTACTATTACGAGTTTTCTCTTACTGGTAGTGGAACACATATCTACATGTGCCCTAATAAGGCACATAAATAAAAAATGTTTTATGGTAAATACCTGTGTGTGTGTGCATGTGTGTGTGTGCCTTTATAAAATAAGTAGATGGGGCCTTGATATGGTTTGGATGTTTGTGCCCTCCAAGTCTCAAGTTAAAATGTGATTCTCAGTGTTGAAGGTGGGACCTGGTGGGAGGTGATTGGATGCTGAAAACGTATCCCTCATGAATGGTGTGGCAACATCCCCTTGGTGATAAGTGAGTTTTCACTCAGTTCGTGGGAGATCTGGTTGTTTAAAAGAGGCTGGGATCTCTCCCTTGTTCCCACTCTTGCCATGTGACATGCCTGCTCCCCCTTTGCCTTCCACCATGATTGTAAGCTCCCTGAGGCCTCACCAGAAGCTGAGCAGATGCTGGTGCCATGCTTGTACAGCCTGTAGAAACATGAGCCAATTATACCTCTTTTCTTTATAAATTACTCAGTCTCAATTAGCCACGCATGGTGGTGGGCACCTGGAATTCCAGCTACTCGGGAGACTGAGGCAGGAGAATCGCTTAAACCTGGGAGGCGGAGGTTGCAGTGAGCCACGATCAGGTCATTGCACTCCAGCCTGGGCAACAAGAGTGAAACTGTCTCAACATAAATAAATAAATAAATAAAAAGTCTCAGTTATTCCTTTATAGCAATGCAAAAACAGCCTAACACAGGCCTGTTAAGTGCGCTCTTTGTTTTGTTGGGATGGGGGTCGGGTGGGCATGTATGTTTAGGGCCAGGATCCGGAACACTGCTGAGTTGCCCTGCATAAGAGAGTGAGAGATTTGAAGTTGGTAGGATAGTCAGTATGGACAGAAAGAAGGCAAAGAAGACGGGCGCAGCATGAGAGAAGCATCCCAAATCACACATGCCCTCCTCAGTGGTGGTATAGCCAGGAGGGACTTTAGAAAGAACAGAAATATCTGTCTGGGCACGGTGGCTCACGCCTGTAATCCCAGCACTTTGGGAGGCCGAGGCAGGTGGATCACCTGAGGTCGGGAGTTCAAGACCAGCCTGACCAACATGGAGAAATCCTGTCTCTACTAAAAATACAAAATTAGCTGGGCATGGTGGCGCGTGCCTGTAATCCCAGCTACTTGGGAGGCTGAGGCAGGAGAATCACTTGAATCCAGGAGGCAGAGTTTGCCGTGAGCTGAGATCATGCCATTGCCCTCTAGTCTGGGTAACAAGAGCGAAACTCAAAAGAAAAGAACAGAAAAGAAAAGAAAGAAAAGAAAAGGAGAGAAAGACACAGAGAGAGAGAGAGAGAGAAATATCTAATGAGCCAGAGAATAGATTATCAAAACATTTGCTATGTAAACTACCTCCTCTAACTCCCCACAAAAATCTTCAATAAAGTCTACATTGTTCACTCCTGCTTTGTGCAAGTGGATTCTCTTTAGGAGATCCAAAGGGGTGCTGGGTTTGGCATCCAGGTTGTCGATGCAGAGTGAAGCAGATCAGAGGACAGCTGACATGCAAGTCATCAAGTCATCACAGGGTTGTTGAAGGAGGCAGGAGAGACCAAAGTTAGATAGTGGGCCCTGGAGTCCAACAAGCTCTGCCCCTAACTGATCACGTGATCTTGAGCAAGTCACTTAGCCTTTTTGAGCTTCAGTTTCTCCATCTGTAAAATGGGCACAATAGTAGCATCTACTTCAAATGGTTGGGGTCAGGATTCAATGAGCCAATACAGGTAAAGTGACAGGCCCAGAGCCTGGCACATGGTAAGTGCTCAATAATGGTTTAGCTTTACTACTTCTACTATCATTTTCATTATAATTGTTGAAGTAGAAAAGTGAGAGAGGGATTGAAAAGGGGAGGGAGGGAGGGAGGTTGGTTGTCTGTGATTGTTGGATTGGATGGGACCACTCACCGCTCTTTTCCCTTTGACAATCCATGGCCCTTGTAATTTTGGTTCTGCAATGAGGAAAGGAAAAGGCTGTAACTGGTTTTGTATATCTGCCCTGCTTTCCCAGGTTAACTTACTGCACATATTAAAATGCCGAAACCATCAGACTCAATAATGCCTAGGTTCTGAGACATGAAGGTTCAGTCTGATCAAGTTCCCACTGGCCACCATGTCCCCAGCAAATGGACCAGAATTTATCTGCTATGAATGAACTCCCAAGTATCCAACGTACCACCTTACTGCAGGTTTGCTCCACAGATATGACCAGTATAGCAAATGCCTGATTTTCAGTACTCCAAAGGTCAGCCCTGAACCCCAGTTTTGAAAGCTCAGCTCAATACACTGTGTGAGAAGGATCTGAACTTTTTTTTTCCTTGTTGTTTTTGAGATGGAGTCTCGCTCTGTCACCCAGGCTGGAGTGCAGTGGCGCAATCTCAGCTCACTGCAACTTCCACCTCCTGGGTTCAAGTGATTCTCAGCCTCCCTAATAACTGGAATTAAAGGTGCCCACCACCACACCCAGCCAATTTTTGTATTTTTAGTAGAGACAGGGTTTCGTCATGTTGGCCAGGCTTGTCTGGAACTCCTGACCTCAGGTGATCTGCCCGCCTCGGCCTCCCAAAGTGCTGGAATTACAGGTGTGAGCCACCACACCCAGCTGATCTGGACTTTCTACTCTTAACTTGGAATGTTTGATTAAATTGATCCCAGAAGGGGCTAGGTCAAAGACTCAGAGCAATGTCAATTCCTTTCACCCCAAATGGACCTTTCAAATCCTCAGTGGGTGGTGGGTATTATTTCACTTCAACCATGTCCAAAACAGCTTGGCCCTCTGTCCTGGGAAGACCAATTCCTAAGGCACGTATGACGAGAGAAATCGAAATTGGTCCTGTGCAGGATGACATTTGCAGCTGGGACAGACCTGCCATCTGCATTCATTTTCTATTGCTGGGTAACAAATTATCACAAAATCAGTGGCTTAAAATGATGGAAATCCATTATCTCAGTTTCCATGGGCCAGGATTGTGGGCATGGCTTAGCTGCATCATTGGCTCAGCTCTCACAAGGCCACAGTCAAGGTGATGGCTGGGGTTATGGCTCTCATCTGGGGCTTGGGGTCCCCTTCCAAGCTCATTCAGGTTGTTGGTAGAATTCAGTTGCCAGGGGTTGTAGGATGGAGGTCTCTGTTTACTTGCTAGCTGTCTGCTGGGGACTGCTCTCAGCTCCTAGAGGCTGCCTGCAACTCCCTGCAGTGCGGCCCCCATAGGTACTTCACAACATGCACATTTGTTTTCCTCCAGGCCACGTGGAGCATGTCCCTCTGACTTCCAATCCTCCCCTCTCCAAGTTACCTATGATGGAGTCTTAAGTAATGGAAGGTAATCACCATAGTAACCATACCATCAAATTCACAGACTCCTCCATGCTCAAGGAGAGATAATTTTACAAGGCATGTACGCCAGGGGGTGGGAATCTTGGGGCCCATCTTAGAATTCTGCTTAGCACACCAGCCTACCCCTCAAAGAGCGGCGGAGAGGGGTGGAGGGTACTGCTTTACAAAACTGGCAGAAGCAAGCCCCACTGAAACACAGTGAAATCTTCTTTCATTCTTCCATTCAAGCCCTTCCAACTCCCCCAACACTAGTCAAGCTGTCCTCGTCTTTTTGTATTTTATCTTTAATCCTCTCTCATGCTTTCAATTCCATTTTCCATGTGTTTATCCAGTTGTTCCAGAGCCTTTGGTTAAAAAAAATTTTCCTCTCCTCATTGAATTGCATTGGCACGTCTGTCACAATTCAATTGACCATGTGTATGTGGATCTATCTCAAGACTGTGTTTTGTTCTATTTACTTGTCTATCCTTATGTCACTATCACATTGGCTTAATTACTGCTGTAGCTTTCTAGTAAATCCTGAAGTCAGGTAGAGTAAATTCTGATTTCAGGATTGTCTTTGCAATTAGGGGTCCTTTGTACTTCAACATAAATTTCAGAATTGGCTTGCCAATTTCTACGAAAAAACATGTTGAGATTTTGACTGGGATTGCATTGAATCTACAGATATTTTCAGGAAGTGACATTATAAGGTACTGAGCCTTCCAATCCATGAGTAATATGATCTCTCCATTAATTTAAATGTTTTAAAAAAATTTTTCTATACTATCTTCTAGTTTCCAGTATAGCAGCCTTGTACATTTTTAATTAAATTTATTCATAGGTTTTTTATTTTATGATGCTATTGGATACAGTATTTTCAAATTTCGTTTTCTACCTGATGATAGTAAATTATAATAAGCAGAAAAAGGGCCGGGCGCGGTGGCTCAAGCCTGTAATCCCAGCACTTTGGGAGGCCGAGATGGGTGGATCATGAGGTCAGGAGATCAAGACCATGCTGGCTAACATCGTGAAACCCCGTCTCTACTAAAAAATACAAAATATTAGCTGGGCATGGTGGCGGGCGCCTGTAGTCCCAGCTACTCGGGAGGCTGAGGGAGGAGAATGGCGTGAACCCGGGAGTCGGAGCTTGCAGTGAGCTGAGATCCGGTCGCTGCACTCCAGCCTGGCGGACAGAGTGAGACTCTGTCTCAAAAAAAAAAAAAAAAAAAAAAAAAAAAGGCAGAAAAAGGCCATCTCCAAAGATGTCCATGTCCTAATCCCTAGAACCTATCAATGTGTTACATTATATGGCAAGGGGAATTTAAAATTGCAGATGGAATTAAGGTTGCTAATCAAAGAACCTTAAAATAGAAAGATTATTTTGTATTTTCTGTGTGGGCCCAATGTAAGGATCCTTAAATGTGGAAGAAGGCAGAGTCAATGTCAGAGTGGCAGAGTCACACACTGTGAGAAGAACTGCCTTTGAACATGAAAGGGGACCATGAGACAGTCTCCAGAAACTAGAAAAGGCAAAAAACAGGGCTTCTCTCCTAGAGCCTCCAGATATGAAGGCAGCCCTGCTAACACCTTGATTTTAGCCCAGCGAGAACCCTTTCAGACTTCTGATCTCATTAACTGTAAGATAGGGACCAGGCGCAGTGGCTCACACCTGTAATCCCAGCACTTTGGGAGGCCGAGGCAGGCAGATCACTTGAGGTCAGGAGTTCAAGACCAGCCTGGCCAACATGGTGAAACCCCATCTCTACTAAAAATTACAAAAATTAGCCGGGATGGTGGTGCACACCTATAATCCCAGCTAATCAGGAGGCTGAGGCAGGAGAACCCAGGAAGCAGAGGTTGCAGTGAGCCGAGATTGTGCCACTGCACTTCAGCCTGGGTGACAGAGTGAGATGCCATCTCAAATAAATAAATAACTGTAAGACAGTAAGTTAGTGTTTTTAAAAGCCATTGAATTTGTGACAATTTGTCACAAATTGGAAACCGATACATATATAGAAGTATAATTGATTTTGTACATTGACCTTGTATTTGATGCCCTTGCTGAATTATTAGTTCTGGTAGTTTGTAAATCCTTTGAGTTTTCTCTGGATACAATGATGTCATCTGTGAATAAAGGCAGACTTACTTCTTTCTTTTCAATATTTATGCTTTTTATTTAGTTTTCTTGCTTTATTCCACTGGTGAAAACTCTAGTATGTACAAAGTTGACTAAAAGTGGTAACAGCTGACATCCTTATCTTGCTCCTGATCATAAGAGGAATGCATTCTCTATTTCAGCTTTTAAGAATGATACTGGCTGTAGATTCCTATAGTTTCCTGTACTAAATTGAGTAAATTTCCTACTATTCCCTGGTTTTCTAAGGGTTTATCATGAACAGGCTTTTTTAAAAAACTTATTTAAAACATCTTTTCTTATACAATTATGCAATTAAATAATTCATTTAAAACATCTTTTAGGCCGGGCGCGGTGGCTCAAGCCTGTAATCCCAGCACTTTGGGAGGCCAAGACGGGCGGATCACAAGGTCAGGAGATCGAGACCATCCTGGCTAACACGGTGAAACCCCGTCTCTACTAAAAAAAAAATACAAAAAACTAGCCGGGCGAGGTGGCGGGCGTCTGTAGTCCCAGCTACTCGGGAGGCTGAGGCAGGAAAATGGCGTAAACCCAGACGGCGGAGCTTGCAGTGAGCTGAGATCCAGCCACTGCACTCCAGCCTGAGCGACAGAGCGAGACTCCGTCTCAAAAAAAAAAAAAAAATCTTTTATTATGTAATTATTATGTAATTCAACCATTATAGGAGTCAAAGATGTTTGACTCCGAGATGTTTAGCATTTACATCTGCCTGGGCCCCCAAGAACAGTAAACTTTATGGTAACATCTTATTTAGCATTTCTCAGACTAGCCTGAGGACTCATCTAAGGTTAAGAATTCTTGCTGGGCACCGTGGCTCACACCTGTAATCCCAGCACTTTGGGAGGCTGAGGCAGGCGGATCACGAGGTCAGGAGTTTGAGGCCAGCCTGGCCAACATGGTGAAACCCTGTCTCTACTAAAAATACAAAAATTAGCCAGGGTGGTAGCGAGCACCTGTAATCCCAGCTACTCGGGAGGCTGAGGTAGAAGAATCGCTTGAACCCGGGAGGCAGAGCTTGCAGTAAGCAGAGATGGTGCCATTGTACTCCAACCTGGGCGATGGCAAGACTCCGTCACAAAAAAAAAAAAAAGATTTCTCAGGAGAAAGGTTTTTTTCCCCTACACTGAAGCTGCCGAGCTTCCTAGTTGTCTCCCACTGCTGAAGGGTAAATTGGTTCTAATTACACCTTTACTAAGGGTGGGGGTCTCTGAAGGGTCCAGCTTTATGGTGAGGTCTCAGTTCCAACTCCTTGCCCAGTGGGCCCCATGACACTTCAACTCCTGTTTGTGAGACAATCAATGACTTCCCCAAGGAAAATGACGAATGAAGAATCAGTTAGTGACAATTCTGTTTTTTATTTTTTTTCTCTGTGTGTGTGTGTGTGTGTGTGTGTGTGTGTGTCTGTGTGTCTGTGTTAGGGTGGTGGTCCCTTGGGGATTTTTCTTCTACCAATCCTTGCCCCTCCACATACGCAGGACAGTTACACAGTTCAAAGGATGTCTGTTATATTTTGGCCAACAGTTTTAAGTGTGTTGTGTTAATAAGCTTTTCAAGAAATCTCATCTGTCATATTGCCTGAGATAGAAGTCCTATTACTATCTTGACCCAAAAAACAGCCCAGGGATATAACTTTCCCCAAACCACTAAAATAATGCATTTAGAAAAGATAAGGCTACAAGACTTTTTAAAAAAATGATCTTATTGAGAAAATGATTCAAAAGTGACTTGGTTGCTTGTATGGGCTACAAACAGAGAACTTTTATTTCTCGTTGGTGCCATTCATGGAGGGTAGCATGAATGGCACCAGTTGGTGTTGAGTCAAAAAGACCATAGGATTGTGACATTGCCAGCTGCCTTCATTCCTGGCTCTATTCCTGGAGTCCTGCTCTGAGCTCCCTGGTACTACCCACCAGGTAGAGACAGTCATGCTGAAACCAGTTTGCCACACCAGCCTACCCATTGTGATTAGACTTTGATCATCTAACCAGAGATCAGCTTCATTGCTTAGCTGGTTCCACTAACCCCAGTTTCATTCCTGCCTGATCCAATTCCTCATTTCCCCTTAGCCCTCTGAAGAGTTCCCAGCATGCCTTGGAGCTGAGGTCTTGGCGACCATCACCTTGAGGAGATGAGGTCAATGGTTGGAACATATAGTATTCTGACTTCTGGCCTTCTCTGAGCATGTTTTTGTGAGAGTACACAAAGTATATCCCGGCATGTTCTCTTAAGGCTGACATGAACGATCCTTTTCAAATAAATTCATACTCCTATTTCCCCTGGGTCATTTGAAAGAAACCACAAAGTCCTAAGTCAATATATAGGAGACCTTTGTTTCCCTTTCCAACAACAAAAACAAAGTTCATTGTTTCACAAAGAAGTAGTCCACTATTTTTTTCCTTCATCCAACGTGGTCTGCTACACCCATGTCTAAACTATATTCACAGTGTAGACTGCTAAGAGTTTGTGCATTCTTCAGCAACCTGCAGTTCGTCCTTCCTTTCAAAGGAATCAGTTGGGTTCATGGGAAGGGACTATTTCAGTAGATGTTTGTTTTCTTTTTTCTTAATAATATTTTTATAAAATGATACGCAGGAAGCTGAGGCAGGAGGATCACTCAAGCCCAAGAGGTTGAAGCTTCAGTGAGCCGTATTCATGCCACTGCACTCCAGCCTGGGCAACAGAATGAGACCCTGTCTCCAAAAAAAAAAAAAAAAAAAAAAAAAAATTATATGTGTCCCAATCTGTGTGTTTAAAGAGTATTAATTTTTAAAATTTGAGAGTTTGGTCATGATTAGCATAGCAGTTGAGGTAGAGGAAAAAATAAATTCAAGACATATTCAGAAAGTTAGAGGAAGGAGGCTTTTACTGGATGTGGGATGTGAGGAAGATGGAGGAGCCAACAGTCCCAGTTTTTTAGCTGAGCATCTAGGTAGGTCGTTCAACAGTCATTCAATATGTATCAACTGTAGTCAGCTCTGTGCTGAGGACCGGGAATACGGAGAAGAACAAGTCAGATTAGATCCCAGAGCAGCGGGGAAGACAGATGTTAAACAAATAGTCACATGAGTAATGAATTGTAGTAAAAAGGCAAAGTTCAAGGCACTCTGAAAGCAGATAAACTCACTTTTTGCTGGGAGAGGGAATTACAGAAATAAGAGGCTGACCAGGTGCAGTGGTTCATGCCTGTAATCCCAGCACTTTGAGAGGCCAAGGCGGGAGATGGTTTGAGGCCGAGTTCCAGACAAGCCTGGGCAACACAGCAACATAACATAGAGACTCCTGTCTCTACACAAACTAAAAAAGAATTAGCTGAGCATGGTGGTACACACTGGTAATCCCACCTACTTGGGAAGCAGAGGCAGGAGAATCACTTGAGCTCAGGAAGTCGACTGAGCCAAGATCACACCACTGCACTCCCTCCTGAACAACAAAGTGAGACCTTGTCTCAAAAAAAAAAAAAAAAAAAAGGAAAGAAAGAAGAGAAATGAAGGTTCCACTCATGAATGAGAGCTGGGATTAAGAAGTAGGATGGAGGCTGGGCGCAGTGGCTCATGCCTGTAATCCCAGCACTTTGGTAGGCCGAGGCGGGCAGATCACGAGGTCAAGAGATCGAGACCATCCTGGCCAACATGGTGAAACCCCGTCTCTACTAAAAATACAGAAATTAGCTGGGCGTCGTGGCGTGCGCCTGGAGTCCCAGCTACTCTGGAGGCTGAGGCAGGAGAATCGCTTGAACCCGGGAGGCAGAGGCTGCAGTGAACTGCGATCACGCCACTGCACTCCAGCCTGGCGACACAGTGAGACTCCGTCTCAAAAAAAAAAGTGGATTGGGGTGGGGATAGCGGATTTTACAGTAATTCATTTTCCCTCTTCGACTTTCATTTTTCCCATTCTTAAAATGGGGGAATTGGTCTGTGCCCTCTTAGAGGGCAGAGGTTTGTCTGATTCACCTGTGTCCCTTGGCCAGCAATGAGCTTGATGGGGGAAAAGACACTAATTAGCGTTGTTTTGAATGGATGGATAAACGGATGGATGGATGGATGGACGGGCAGGCGGGCTTCGCCAAATCAGGAAATCTGAAATTCTGAGGTTCAACTTCCCCAGGGGTCACGGAGCTCAGAATCCCACTGTTATGTAAATTTCCCCCCAGCTGGCCAGGGTCGCTGGACTTGCGCAGCAGCTTGGGTGGCGCGGTGCATGCCGGGAGTTGTAGTCTTTCCTCTAAGTTCGTCGACTTTTTTTCTTCCTTTTTCCGGAATTCCTCCGCGAGAACACCACCTCCTCCCCCCGCCCTACCCCGCTACCCATTCCGTGAGGAACACCCATCCCCAACCGATTTTGAATCCCTCTGCGGCTTTCCTCCCTTTTTCTAGGGACGATAAAAGCATCTGGGTCAGGCTGACTCCTACCTTGGGTCGCGACATAACGCGATTCCCCACGGACTAGATCCAAACTGCCACAGCTCGCCGCGCGTGCTTGTGCGTCCCGTTGCCAAGGCGACAGAGAAGCGGCTGGATCCGCCGCTCTGATTGGACGAGCCAAAGGCACGCTCTCGGCGGAGTGCGCAGACTCCGATCCACCAGAGCCTCTGGAGGCTCTTGGGTGTGCTGGCAGCCTAGGTCCCCCGGCTTCCTCAACCTTTCTTTCCCAGGCCCGTCTCTCCGCGACCCTAGGGCAATTCGTTCTGAGGCTGGCTGCCTCTGCCCCCCGCCGCCTCCAACTGCACTTTCCTTAAACTAAGAGCGCTGCGTCTGAAAAGTTGTCAGCTTTTGGTAAATGTAATTTACCAGATGTAATTTACTGAGTTTCCTTACTTAAAAGAAGTTACTCACTAAGTCACCCGGTCACTTGGTCAGTCGGTAACGCGGCCAGTCACCTTTGCTATCCCAGCCGCTTTCTAATTCTTAAGGTCTATAGCCTCACCAACATTTGATGTTGTCCATCTTTTTCATTTTAGTGACTACAGTGATAGCTCATTGTAGTTTGTTTGAGACAGAGGCTCGCTGTGTCGTCCAGGTTGGAGTGCAGTGGCACCATCTCGGCTCACTGCAGCCTCTGCCTCCTGAGCTCAAATGATCCTCCTGTGTCAGCCTCCCGAGTAGCTGGGATTACAGGTACATGTCACCACGCCCGGCTAATTTTTGTATTTTTAGTAGAGACAGGGTTTCACCATATTGGCCAGGCTGGTCTCGAACTCCTGACCTCGTGATCACCTGCCTCGACCTCCTAAAGTGCTAGGATCACAGGCGTGAGCCACTGCACCCAGCCAGCTCATTTTGTTTTAAAAGTACTCAGGTTGGGTTGACTGGGAAGGAGATGAAGGAACTTTCTGGAGTGATGGGGATTTCCATCTCCTAATAAAGATGTGGGTTATATTGAGTATATGCATTTGTCAAAATTGACTAAACTGAAAAGATCTATGCATTTCATTATTTGAATGCGTATATAAGAAAGAGACAAAGTTATGTGCAGATAACATGAGAGTTTAGTTGTTCAGAATTCTTGGTTACAAAAAAACTATCTTTGATTAACTGAAATAGAAATGGAATTCATTGGTAGGATATTGAATGAGTCACAGAGTTGTTGGAAATCAGAATCAAAAAATGGGGAAAGAATTCAGGGAGTCTAACTGATCAAAATTATGGTCAAAATCAGAGTTTGCAGAAACTTTGATTGGGGTGCCATTTCTGATTATTACTGGACATCAGACAGCACTACTGACATGACTGCTGCAAATAGCACTGGATGCTGTTGTTTTACTAGCACCTCTGCTCCATAGATATCACTACTAGTACTGGAATTGGCCAAATGAATACTCAACAGACACCTGCTTTGTTGTACTATTTGTTTCAGATTTAAAGTCCACAAACTGCTTTAGCTGCCAGGGCTAGAGTACCTGACTCTTCTAGCTTCATACAGTAGTAGTGTGGAAGATGCTGCTAGTTGCCTACACCATATCCATTCTTCCCTTCTTCTGAAATAGATGTCCATCAGAACTGTCTGCATTTAAAAATCCAAAGAATCTACAGAGTATTAGAACAAATTAAAGGTTTTTTTTAAAAAAAAAAAAAAAAAAAAAAGGCTGGGCGCGGTGGCTCACGCCTGTAATCCCAGCACTTTGGGAGGCCGAGGCGGGCAGATCACAAGGTCAGGAGATCGAGACCATGGTGAAACCCCGTCTCTACTAAAAAATAGAAAAAAAAATTAGCTGGGCGCAGTGGCGGCCGCCTGTAGTCCCAGCTACTCGGGAGGCTGAGGTAGGAGAATGGCGTGAACCCGGGAGGCGGAGCTTGCAGTGAGCCGAGATTGCGCCACTGCACTCCAGCCTGGGCGACAGAGCGAGACTCCGTCTCAAAAAAAAAAAAAAAAAAAGAAAGAAAACATCAACCCAAAAATGACATTTGAATTTCTATATACCAACCATAACTGATTGGAAACTATAATAAAAATATATAGCAACAGAAATATAAGATATGTAGAAACCCATCTCATAAAGTATATGAAAAAGACATTAAACAACAAATTCTTATGAAGCATCTACTCTGTGTCCTGCTCTATTCTTGACACTGAAGATACAGCAGAGAGGAAAACCAACAGAGCGTTCGCCCTAATGGAGTTTATATTCTCATAGAGAAAATTACAAAATATTATTAAAGGACATCAAATAAATGCAATGATATACATGTTCATGGATGGGAAGGCTCAATATCAGAAAGATGTGTATTTTCCCCAATCCAATCAGGATTTTTGAGGAATCTTGTCAAAACCAAAAGAACAATGTGTATATGTTGGGGCAAGGAGACACTTCTCTGCCTACCAAGCCAATGAGGAGTAGAGCTTCAAAACAGACACAGGAGAGAGAGTGCGTGTGTGTGTACTTGATGTACAATAGAGATGGCATTATAAATCACTGGGGAAAAAATAGTAAATGGCACTGAGAAATTTACTTTCCATAGAGTTGAAAAATAGATGCCTAATTAAATGGATTAAATAAATATGATAACAAATATTTAAGACATATACATGTTATATTTATTATCTTGGGGTGGGAAAGGACTTCTTAGATAAACAACAATAAAACACTACTCATAAAGGAAAAAGATGATCTGTGACTACCTCAAAATTTAAACTGCCAGGCTGGGCATGGTGGCTCACGCCTGTAATCCCAGCAGTTTGGGAGGCCGAGGCAGGCAGATCATGAGCTCAAGAGATCAAGACCTGGCCAACACGGTGAAATCCTGTGTCTACTAAGAATACAAAAATTAGCTGGGTGTGGTGGCATATGCCTGTAATCCCAGCTACTCGGGAGGCTGAGGCAGGAGAATCACTTGAACCCTGGAGGCAGAGGTTGCAGTGAGCCAAGATCATGCCACTGCACAAAAGACATGGTAAATCCGATTAGCAGATAAGCTACAGACTGGGAGGAAACATCTAGAACATATATAACAAAGGATTGGTGCTCAAGGAACTCCTTCAAACCGTCAAGGAAAATACATCCCCACCCTCACCCCTACAAAAGAAAAGAAAAATGGGCAAAGGACATAAATAGGGAATTTTCAGCAGAAGAAACTCAAATGGCCGGTAAGCCAATTGAGAAATGTAAATAAAAATAATTGTATGATTTGAAATACATCAACTATACAAAAATAAAATATGTCAATGTTTTTTATGAGGTTAGTGAGGACGTGGGGAAATGGGAGCCTTTACATGCTATTCACACCTTGGAATGCAATTTGGCAGTATCTCATAAAGTTGTGGAACCTTACAACCCAGAGATTCCACTACTAGACAATATCCTATAGGCCCACTGAATAGCCTATAGATTCCTCTACTAGACAATATCCTATAGGCCCACATCTCCATGGAATACCTTTCATCTTGTAGTTAATGTGCAAGGTGACAACCTTCCTAAAGAAATTTTTACACCACTACATAGGTCATATGTATAAGGATATTGTTTGCAATGTTCTTGATAACGCAGAAAATATTAGAAACAATCTAAATGTCCACTAGTAGGGGTGATGGATGAATAAAATGGAATATATTCCTTTTTTTTTTTTTTGAGATAGAGTTTTGCTCTTGTCACCCATGCTGGAGTGCAATGGTGTGATCTTGGCTCACTGCAACCTCCACATCCTGGGTTCAAGTGATTCCCCTGCCTCAGCCTCCCTAGTAGCTGCGATTACAGGGACCCGTCACCACGCCCAGCTAATTTTTGTATTTCTAGTAGAGATGGTTTTGCCATGTTGGCCAGGCTAGTCGCAAACTCCTGACCTCAGGTAATGCACTGGCTTTGGCCTCCCAAAGTGCTGGGATTACAGGTGTGAGCCACCACACCCGGTCAATATATTCTAATAATAAAATATCATACAGTGATAAGAATGATCCAGAGCTATATCGATATGTACCTATTCCCAAAACCTATTGTTAAGTGAATAAAAGAAAGTTGTAGAATGAGAAATGTTTTTTAAAGGTTATAATTTGTGTTAATTATAAACACATATAAAAGTGTATTTCATATTCTTTTGTATGTATAGATAGTAAGAGTTTAAAAACACAGATTCAAAAGATATGCACCATAGCCAATCCTTGTGAGTATAGTGGTGAGTATCCCTGCCTGTCAAAAGATATGCACTAAATTCATGATACTAGTTGGGGAGAAAGTGAAGGAAGTGAGGAGAGAAAAGGGAACTTAACTACTTCAAGTTTATTTAGAATGTTTTTGTTTTATTTAAACAACACAATTGAAGCAAATAGGTCACAGTATCCTTACCTGGATTTAAGATTTTTTTCCCAACGAAAAGCAACACAGGCCATAGCAATAATATGATAGAGGAAGTTTAGCATGCTTTGGGAATGCATAATAGTGGTTTCTAAACTAGTCTAATAGGAGTCAGTAAAGACTTCCAGGAGGAAATGAGAGTTAGCTTGGTAAGGAGGATGGGAAGAGCATTCCAGGCAGAGAGAACAGCATATGCAAAGTTGGAAGTTAGAGAAAGCAAAGCATGACACAGATCAGTAACTAGGAAAGAGTGGAGTAGAGGGGAGAGACAAGGCTTCCACACCTCTTTGGTCTTGTTTCCTTTTTCACAGATGTGGAAACAAAGCCCTAGTGAAGGGAGTAGAGACAAGGGTTCTTACTCTGTCAATTTTTCTGTGATAATAGTAACGCCAGTGGTAATAATAACAATAATGTACTGTGTTCCAGTCTTTCTACTAGGTATTTGAAACATGTCCTCTCATTTAACCTTACTACAGACCTACAGAGGGTTTTTTTTTTCCTCCTTATTTCATAGATGATGAAATTGAGGCCCAGAGAAGTTGAAAAAAAAACTTGCTTAAAGTCAGTGGCAGAAACCACATCCCACAAGGCCTCCTCGTGTGCCATGCTAAGCAGGTTGGACATGTTCCTAAAGGTGTTGGTGAGTGTATGAATTTCCTGTTGCTGCTTGTAATCACAACAAACATAGTAACTTAAAACAACACAGACGTAGTGTCTTACAGTTCTTGAGGTCAGAGGTGTGAAATGGGTCTCACTGGGCTAAAATGAAGGTGTCAGCAGGGTTGAGTTTCTTTTGTAAGCTCTGGGATAATGTTTCCTTGCCTTTTCAACTTGCATCCCTTGGCTGTGGGCCCCCTTCGATCT